TATTTTTTTAATTAAAAATTAAAAATTATTTATATATATTTACTTATATTATCTTTAAAAAATTAAAAATTAAAAATTTTTTATGATTAAATAATTAGTTAAAATAAATAAATAATGATAGAGTTAAAATAAAAAATTTTATATTAAAAATAAAAAATAATAATAAATTTAAAATAAATTTAAAATAAAATAACAATAACTATTTTAAAACAAAAGAAATAAATAAAACTCAATTAAATTCTTATCGGTGAACCCTACCCTACATTCCGCGTTCGTACAAGAACATCTTTAAACAGTTAACAGATCATTACATGCACGGTACGGACACACACACACACACAAAAAAAAATCCAAAAGTCTAGGTCATAGGAGGGAACAAATAAACGAGTGTCACAGCGGCTCCACCCAATCAGAATTCGACAACGTTTTCGGTGAAAACTTCGTGGCTTTCCATTACCTCCTATTTCTTTATCAAACCCGTTTTCTTTTTCTCCAAATTGGTTTTCAACTTTTCTACATTTATTTTACCAAAAAAAAAAAAACTTTTCTACATTTATGAACATATATACCTCCAGAAGTCCGCCTCCTTTTTTGCATCACTCATCATCACCTGGACCTGGGCAGGAGAGAAGACTGCAGAGGGAGAGAGACCAATCTATTTTTTTTCCAGAAGACTCCTGGAGGAAACAATCCAACCCCCTTCTATAATTCTTCACTTTCTATCTTCTCTGCAAATTTTTCTTTTCTTTTCCCTTTTTTGAGGGGAAAATCTTGGAGCCATGGGAAGGGGGAGGGTCCAGTTGAAGAGGATAGAGAACAAGATCAACAGGCAGGTAACGTTCTCCAAGAGAAGGGCGGGGTTGTTGAAGAAAGCCCATGAGATCTCCGTTCTCTGCGACGCGGAGGTGGCTCTCATCGTCTTCTCCACCAAGGGAAAGCTTTTTGAATACTCCTCCGATTCATGGTACGTACGGACTGCAGCGATTCGTTCATCTGCCCTAATTTAGTTTCTTTCTTTTTTTATTAATTAATTATTCGTTCTCCTCCCATTTTTAATTCTATATTCCATGTTTTTGCCTGTGTGACCTTATTATTTTAATCAATTTTTAATTAATTAAAAATTCATCCAATGATAAGGTATATATGTTTTTGTTTTTGTAGTGATTTTGTTGATGGGATTAAGGTCAAGAAGGGATTTCTTTATAATTTTTTTGATTACATGATAGAATATAATTAAATTGGGTTTGTGGAAAAAAATAAAAATATGGACAATGCAAAAAACAAACGCTGTACTGAGTTGTACGTAGTCCTCATATTTTTTACGTGAGGTCAATTCTTTTCTCTTTATTTATGGAGTGCTCCATGAAATCTTTTTGCTTTGATACAATAATTGGTTAATTAGGGATTGGTTATTGCAACACCTAAGGACACACAAACATTGTAATAATTGTGTTTATTTTTACTTATTTTAGTAGTTTATAATTTTCTGTTAAATAAGTAATTATGGTATTTAAAAGTAATAATTTATAAATTAATATTAATATAATATGTTGTAAATATTATATATTTTATTAATTAATAATTATAATTATAGATTATTTTTGTCTTTGATTGGAATTAATTATTTTTATTGTTAAATAAATAATGTTTTTGTGTGATCTTAAAAAAAAAAGAAAGAAAAAGTGTGGCAGTTATGCCCGCTTAATTTGTTCCCATTTGAACCATTTCCCAATGATTTTTCAGGCTTTGTGAAATCCTCCTATGAAATTCTTGACTAGTTAGCAACACTTAGAAAAGTCAAATACGACTCCCTTCTATGGACTGGAAAGCATAAAGTTCTAACCCTTGAAAACTGTGTCTGTACCGTTTCACTGTATTTTTCATGATTTTAGCTTTTCTTCTCCCTGAAAATAAAGGAGATTGAGATGCATAGATAATTAAGCAGTTACTTCGTTACGTATTTTCAAAAAAAAAAAAGCAGTTACAATAATTCCAGTAGTCATAGAACAAACAAGGGACATATATTTCATGATTTTGGCTAAAACTATAGCTTGCTAGAATGAGTTTTTGCAAGTTTTTTCAACTAAAATTTCAGCACTCATTAACTATTATTATTTTGTTGTTTTTGAGAAACTTTTCTTTATCTTGAAATGTGAATAATTTTTTTTATTTTAAAATAGGCACTTATAACTAAGATAATCTTCTTTACTTTATGGTAAGGAAGTGTATACTTTTTTTTTATTTTTTGGCACCATATCGATAGCTTTATTTAAAATCCTCGAAGCTAACTCAGTAAGGAAGAGACAATTTTCTTTGTGGTTGACTATGCCTCGTAATAGATATCCTTGGGACACAATAGTTTCTCTTCGTCACATTGATTCATCTTTTACAATTGTCCAATTAATTAGGTTCTACTCCCTCCATCTATTTTAAGTAGATTTAGTTTAATTTTTTAATTTTTTAAATA